GTTAGTCTCATTTGGTTTTACAGGGCTGTCCACTCCCAGGCTGAACAGTGAACCTCGGAGGTAACTTCACCACTGACCTAAAAGGGTGTCTGGGGGCCATACTCTCGAGGTTTCTCCAGTGAAACACATTAATATTTTTGCAGCAAAACATGAAATTCACACTTAGAGAAATAAAGAATTCAGATGAGGTTTTGCTTTAAATGAACTTTGACAGCACGTTACAAAAATGTTTCCATTTTTAGAGCTTTTTGGATTTCAGAACTGTGTATATATAAGAGAATGAGGACTTATATTTAAAATGCCAAAATCTAATAGTTACTTGCATATCAAATCAGTGTTTTAATTATCAGGTTAGTTGGGAAAACCCTTATTAAGGATTAGAATAATAGACTGTAAGAATAATAAATCATGATTGTCTACATGGAATACTCCCCTTAGCAAATCATAGGCTATTGAACTAATCTTAAACTTTAGAGAATTGGTTTCCATGATTAAACAGCCTCCCTAGTAAATTCATCATGTTACATTTCAAATTTTTAGTAATTTTAATTTCCCAAAATAACACTTGATTTGAGCCATATGAAGGTTTGTATTACACACCTCATGATTAGAACTATTAATACTTAGTGTAATAAGTAATTATGCATTTGTTAGACGTTAAGAAGAGGTGGCAACACAGCAAATACTCAAAGGGTGCATTTCTTAATAATTCCTTCATCTAGCACTAGTCTAGTCAAAGGAGCCCTGGTCACTCAACGGTTAATCGCTTGGCTGCTAACCACAGGAGAAAGATCTGGCAATCTGCTTCCGTAAAGATTACAGCCTAGAAAACCCTATGGGACAGTTCTACTCTGTCACATGGGGTTGCTATGAGTTGAAAATCGATTTGATGTCACGTAACAACAACAGTCTTATTTAACTTTGATCTGAAGGACCAATGGGCTGATTAGGAGGTGGACTTTTTCTTGATAATGTATATTCAGAGAAGCCTTGAGAATCCAACACTTCAGCGTATGAAAATTCATCAGCAGTTTGGTGGAACAAGCCTTGTTTGGAATTTTTGTTACCCTGGATATTTCCTTGAACTAAGCTGACTACCTGAGATGAAAAGAGAAGATAAATTTTACACGTGTAAAAACGGCTTTGTCGTTGAGATATTTAAGCAAAAGAGAATACGAAGGGCCTTGGAGATAAGCACTATATAAAAACTACTGTTTTTCAAGATAAGTTTTTGAGTGTGAGCATTCCTTAAGAATTTACTCACATATTCATATAAACCTGATAAATTTATTTCCCCAATATCTCCAAAGGAGCCCTGGTGGCACAAAGATTAAGTGTTCGGCTGCTAACCAAAAGGTTGGCATTTCAAACCCCCCTAATGTCTCTGGAAGAAAGACCTGGCGATCTCCTCCCGTAAAGATTACAGCCTAGAAAACCCTGTAGGGCAGTTCTGCTCTGTCACACGCAGTTGTTATGAGTCGAAATTGACTCGACAGCACCTAACAACAACAGCAACAACAACATGTCCAGCTTACTTTAGGAGACAATTTTATGAGATCTTAAAAAGCCTCTCTGCCCTGTGAATTTAGAGGATTCCAATTTATTCAGCAATATTTGAGTACGCAGTGGAGCCCTGGTGGCACAGTGGTTAAGAGCTCAGGCTGCTAACCAAAAGGTCAGCAGGTTTGAATCCACCAGCCGCTCCTTGGAAACCCTTTGGGGCCATTCTCTGTCCTGTAGGGTCGCTATGAGTCGGAATTGACTCAGCGGCAATGGTTACGGGTACAACATTTTCCTAGAAATTGGGGGTTGGGAATGGTGTGAGTGACAAAGATGAAGAATAGTCTTAGGAGATTATGGTCTAGTGAACAAGACTAATGTAGATAAATCATTTAAAAAATATCAAAAGAAAAAACTACAATTTTAAGTGTTTGGGGATAGACTTACAGGAACAAGTAGCATTTGAACTAGACATTTAAGAATGGGTCAAATTTTGAAAAGTATAGTAAAGAGATGGCAGTAATATGAGTAATATTTTATTTGAAAATTTATCTGAGGTATGTATTATGAGTTTGCTGGGATATTGTATGAATTATTTTTGCTTTTCCATATTTAGCATATTTCTATCCTGAACCTGCAGGTATCTGTTCTTTATAGATTTTTACCCCAACATTTTATTATGAAAAAATTTAAATATACAGAAAAGCTTCTACCATTAACATTGTACTATACTTGCTTTATCATCTATTTCTATATATCCTTCGATCTATCCATCAAGGTACCTAATTTAGTTTCGGCTTTTTAACTTTTTATTTTGAAATGATTATAGATTCACAGAAGTTTAAAAAAAAAAGTACAGGGAGGGCCTGTATACCCTTCACCCAGTTTCCCGCAATGGTAACGTCTTGCATAACCATAGTACAGTGACAAAACCAGGAAACTGAAGATTTATTCAGATTTCACCAGTTTTACATGCAGTCGTGTGTGTGTGTCTGTGTGTATCTGTGTCTGTGTCTGTAAGTAACATTCTGTGCAGTTGTATCACATGTATAGTTTTGTATAACCACTACCACAATCAAGATACCAAACTCCCTTGTGCTATCTCTTTATAGACACCTCCTCCCCTCTCTCATTCCTAACCCTTAGCAGCCACTAATCTCTTCTTCTTCTCTATAATTTTGTTATTTTGAGAACAGAATCATACAGTAGCCTTTTGTGATTGGCTTTTTTCATTCAGTTTATGCCTGTGAGATTTACCTGGTATTTTTGATGCATTTCAAAGTAAATGGTAATCACCAGCATACTTCTCTTTTAAATACTTCAGCATGCATAATATTAGAGTTCAATATTTAAATTTGTTTTTCTTTTGAAGTAGAATTTACATACCATGATATGCACAAATTTTAATCTCTTTAGAATTTTTTTTTTAAACTGTCCATTATCAATGCTTTATTGATGGTCATATCTCTATACTGATATATCAAAAATACGTTTGGAAGAGTAAAGATAACTATATATACCCTCGTTCATTTCTTATCCCTTAATGTCCACATTAATAAATCTTACTGTGAAAGATAGTTTTGGCCTTTTAACTTTATTTTGAAATAATTACAGATTCACAGGAAGTTGGAAAAAAAAGTACAGGGAGGTCCTGTATACCCTTAACCCAGTGAAATATCATGATGTGCGTTACGCAAGGTACACTATATTGAAGGGCAAATCAAATAGCAAAGGACCTAAAAATCTGGGAAACACTATTCACGTCTATTTCTGCGTTATTGAGTACACAACTCGGGGAGCAAAAGACAGAATCTTCTTTCTCACCATGAATAAAAGTAGCCCATGCAGCCCAGGCCAATTACACAGAAATGGGCAGCTCCTGTAAAAACAGCAGCAGTCCTCTGGTCTGTCTCTCATTCTTTAGACGTTTGATCAAAAGATAGAAATGTACATTTTTAAAAGAAAATAAGTTTATACTTGAATGTATCTCTGGGTAATTCTAGTCAAAGTAGAGGCAGTTCTGACTCATGTTGACCCCACGTGTGTCAGAGTAGAACTGTGCTCCATAGTGTTTTATTGGCTGATTTTTCAGTAGCTTGCCAGGCCTTTCTTTGAGGCACCTCTGGGCGGACTCGAACCACCAACCTTTTGGTTAGCAGCTGAGCGCATTAACTGCTTGCACCACCCAGGGGGCTCTGAAAACTCTACATGAATACCATGAAAATCCAAATACATTCTAAATTACTTGGCACTATCAGAATATTAATAGCTGCTTTGCCTCTTCCTTGATAATGCAGGATAAATCAGACAGCTGTTAACTTCAAACCTAAAATGGACCAGTATGATGCATATTTCAGCTAGAAACTTATGCTTATGTTATGGTAATTGATATAGAATTGTTACTGAGAAGGGTGGACTTTAAAAACTCATGCTCTGGGAAGGAACTTTGAAATATGTAAGATCCAACTATGTACCATTTTACTGCTGGGACTTCATAAATTCCCTACTGTGTTTTCCATGTTAATTCTTTTTACTCATGTTTTTGATTGCAGAGTAGAGTTTAGAATCCACCAGTTTGTATTAAAAATTTTGGCTTTCAGTTTTATTTTATGTGATTTTACTTAGATAATTTAAAACTAATTTTAAGTATACTTTTTTTCCCCCTCAAGGAGATGAAGCCTTATCTAAATCAGTACCCCTCACAGTGGATGATGATGACGACGACAATGATCCTGAGAATAGGTATGATTCCATCTGTAAGGACTTTAAAAAGATTATAACACACTCTAGGTGTGGGCGCAAACAGCAGCTACGGAACAGCAAGCAGGTTGTAAAAACCAGGAGTGCCTGCCTTAGAAAGACTCACTCAAACATTCTTCCTGCAAGTTTGAAAAAAGGCCAGAAAATGGGCTAAAACTCAGAAACCTTAAGAGGAAGTAAATATTTATAAGTATTAACACACCTAGCATAGGGTGTGTTATAAATACAGCACTGTCAATTTTATGTGTCCATGTAAACTGTGACAATTTGAGAATATTTTAATTTTGACAGATTATTTTATCGATTAAAAATGAATCATCAATAAATGGGTGACAACAGACATCTTTCTTTTTTATATCTGATTATGTTTTTCATTTGCCATCCAATATGGTGGTCTTATTTATTAAAATCTGTTAAGAATGAGAAAAAGGGATTGCTCAGATATTTAAGATTAAGAAATCACTTTCAAAATAAGTATCAGTTCACAAGGTGTCTAGACTGATCTAGATTTTAACCATTTTCAAATAAAATGTAAGTAGACAGTATAATGGCATTAACTTTAATAAGATTTAAATAATAGTTTTAAATGTAAACAGTGTAGCCTATACAGATTTACTTAACCAAGGGAAGGCTAAGAGAAGAAAATACTATAAAGACGTGTCCATATCACAGCAATAAAGAATAAAGAAAATGAAGATATTAAAGAATATAACCTTAATGTTTCTGCATATTTTTTAACGCCTTCCTGCACTATAGCACACCCCACGCTCATAATCATTAACAAAAATACCATGCAGTATAGTGGATGGAACTTTGGAATAATGGGAGTCCGGGCATCCAACTTCTGGTACTAACTTTCCTAACAACTATCTGTCTGATCTTGAGCAAGTGACTTAACTACTTTTTATCAAAGTTTTTTTTGTCACTAAAATGAAAGGGTTGGATGAAATAATCTCTGGTTAATTTTAGCACCAAAAATCTATCATACACTTGAGATGATTTTATGCAATGGCAATAGATTAACCATCCATTTTTCCTAACAGTAAACTCTAATTTCAATAAAACATGAAAATACCCATGTAAGTTTTGCATCATAAATTTGTAAGAAATGAACTTTTTTTTGAGTTAGTAAATGCTGTGGGGGCTTTTGCTCTAACTCTGCTTTACATTTTGCTGCTGATGAAAGGTTTTTCTCTTTCAAAGATCAGCATTCTGCTAATTAAAGGAGAACGTTTTTATAAAGGTAAATGAACAGTTTTACACTTTTGAATGAGCTGAATTATGAACACAGAGCCTCAGATGCTTACCTACTTACTTTGTAATTAAAAAATTATACCATTATTATATGGGATAGGGGTGAGGTCCAGAAAACAATAGTAAAGGCATACAATTTATTCATCAGGGATTTCATAGTACATAATCATAACCAGATTATGAAAGCATTTAAAGTTTTATTTCTCTTAAAATGCTTTAATTTCTCTTCATTATTTATGCTACTGTTCATTTTCCTGTAAATTATGAGGACTTAAATATTATTAAAAGGCTAATAATGTTTAAAACATTCTATATCCTAATTTAACTTTGAATAATGAACCTTAATTTCTTATTTAGCTACCAAATGAGAGTGTTGTTGACGTATAATTTTCTACTTGTGATAGAGCTTGTCAAAATATAAATATCATTTTCATCTTTTAAGTTACCTGATCATATCTCTCTGTAACTGGCAAATATTTTATTGGAAAGTATCTTTATTTCCATTTGTATCTGTGATTAAAAAAATACAACCCTCTTGAGTACTTTTAACAAGAATTTTATCTTGAGCATGAGTTTCTTTATACCTATACTTTGATACTTTTTATAATAGTTTGATGTACTTTTATATTATATACAATTAATAATTTGTTTAATATCCATTATACCAAAGAAGTATCTAATGCCCATGAGTTATCTAATCATGATGGGAATGCAAATACCTTCTTGCACTATTTTAGTATAGACAGTGTATTTGAGCAATATTTGAATGTGCACTAAATAACTTTCAAAAGGTTTGCAGGTCATTAAGTCTTGGAATTATTTTTACCAGTTTCACATTTTTGAGTGGGATGTATTATAGTAGACAGTGTATTGTAATTGTGTATAAATTTGTACACAATTGTGTAATTGTGTATAATTTTCATATGCTTTCCCTTTTTTAGTAGTATTGTAATATATTTTCAGTGTTGATGTTTATGAAGAGGTATATAGTGTATTAATGAAAATACTTAACTATTTGGATGCAATAAATTTCTGTAAAACTTTTTTCTTGTTCAAGCATTTAATTTTAATTATAATGGGTCTTTTCATGAGAGTGGAAAGAAGAATTTATTAGGATAAAGATATGTAGGCTAGTTTGTAGCCAGAGAAGTTTTGATAGTCCTGAAATTAAGAAAGTAAATAGTTTATAATTTCTAAAACATATGCCATACACATATATGCACACACACATATATATGTACACACAGATACATATGCATATATGTGAAAGTTTTTTGACAGAGTTTACTATTTTTCTTTCTTAAAGGTATGATAGCTTTTGAAGTAATTTTAAAAACTTGATTATGTCATGAATATTTTAATAGATATGAATAAATAAGTTTCTGTTGTTTCAGCATACTATTATGTAGAATCATTCATATTTGAAAGCAAACGTATACCATTGTGAGATAGTGTAGTCTAACCTATAAATTGATTGCTATTTAATTGTATTTATTTAATGAACAAGGACAAAATATTATAGTTTTATCAACAGTCTAATTTTTATCATTTTTATGGTTGGACTTTTAAGGAAAAAATGTAAGAAGTAGACTAACCTTATATTTGAATTTTGTGTAACTGAGAATTTAAATTTTATAGCTTAGACTTTATGTACTCGTTGAAATGGAGAACATTAATACCAAATAGCTTGTCAAGTTATTTAAATTATACACATAATTTTAAAGTCAGTTTTTTAAATGTGCTTTTAGATTAATGTTTCATTTGCGTTTTGAATACCTGTTACTGAGTTTTAAACTGGTTCTTTTGTTGAAAAGAAATCAATTCATAAAATTTTTCATCATGGTTACAATTCTGCAATTAGGCTGGCATTGAAAATACATTATCATGTATATCATAATGTTTTCAATATAAATAGGGATATTTTGACCAGACATTTTCTAATAATGTCATATATTTTAATTTAATACCTGCCCTGTGAATTGGCCTCAGTGATAGGATGGTAGTGTGTTCAAGTTTAATAGTTTTAGTATTGAAGATCGTTAAACCAGGCTTATCTTTTCAGATTATGTAGTAAACTATCACTGAGGAGTCCATTTGCCCCAGAATAGTAATTATTTTCAAAATGGTCATTATTTGTATTTTTGCAGGCTGTGAAAAGTATTTAAAATTGAGCTTTTGAGAGAAAAAAAGAAATTGCTGGATTTTTCTAAACATGCTTTTTTTCAACTTTGGCTTAGCTGAGATTTTGATATATATACCCTATCATGCCACACATGTGAACACACTTAGTTTATAGTTGAAGAATGCTTAATTTGGTCTAATAATATTCCATAGTTTCTCTCATAATTTCTCTTTGGGTTGAGCTAAATAATTATTTTTCATAGGTTCAAAATTTGATGTGGAGATTGCTTAAAGGAATTCCCTGCTGTTAATAGAAGTTCTACTTAATTATAGTGGGACTAGATCATAGGCTTATAAATTTCCAATTATTGTTTTATCGTTTGGTAAATTTTTGCCTTTCAATCTAGAAAATATGCAAATGAATGTTTTTTTCCACTACAAGCTTGTATGGGAATTCTGTTGAAGGCTTACTGCAGCATATTTTGGGAAGAGATTGATGATTCCTGGATTATTTATGCTAATGAAGATACTTAATGATTGTTTACATGCTTTCAGCAAAGATTAATGGCATGAATATATCTCAAGTCCCTTAAACATATGACTTTCACTTGACTTCCATTTCAGACACCTTTCCAAATATCCATCTTTTACACATGTCTATGCCTACTCTTTATATAACTTTGCTAAGTCTAGAATAATTTTTCTTCTTTAAATTTTGTTGGTTTTTTTTCCTCCCAGTAAAAAAGAAATTTCATGATTGTCCTGTTTGATTGGCAAAATTGCTTTGGTTCTCTTTGATTGTACTTGAAAAACAAATGTAGCATTTTAAATTAAATGTTTTATTTGCTTTTCTGTTTGAGTAAGGATTTTAAATGTCTAGCAATTTTTAAAGTAAGTTTTTTCAATTTGTTTATATAGTTCAGGTAAGTATCATATGTTATGTAAGTATAACTCAGGTATCCAACCAGTAGGTAGGATCTATTTGTAGATATTTAAACTGGTTGCAGTTGTTGCCAGTTCTCTTTTTTCTGTGCTGGAGTTCCCAGCAAGGAAAGAAACGCCATTAGTAGTTGTGTCCCTTGTCCCTCACTGCTTAAGATTTAAGCATTACTATATCCAGCCTTCTTTTTCTGTTCTTTGTTCCTTGGTGATATTGGACTTCCAGAAAATGATAAATAGGTCTTCAAAAAAAAAAGAGTTTGGATTTAGTGTTAGCAAAAGTGATTCATTTTATTCTGACGTACTATATGCCTCCTTTGTTTTAACTTTGAAATTTCAAAATAAAATTGAGATGAGTATATTCTGTTTTCACTTCTCAAATGTAAAAAAATATTAAACTGGTTCTTATATGACCAAATTTCTTAAATTATATCAGTGTTTAATATATTTTTTGGTTAAAATTTCCTCTAAATCTGACATAAGTTTTTATATAAAATTAGGGAGTACACATTTTGTTATTTCAGCTTATTTAAATATGAGAGCTTATATATAAATTGCCAATAACTGGGTTCTTAATTTCATACAGTTTTTGTTTTTCTGCTCCTAAGATTTTTAAAAAAGTCATCTGATAATAGTTTTCCTGGTACCCTCACCAAAAAGAAACAGTG